CTCAATTTTTTGAATCATCGTGATTCCATTATTTGTCCAGACCTTTAAGGACTATGAAAGGCAAGTCTTATGATTCTCATCTGGTGAAATCCAGTTTGTAACCTTGCTACTAATTTTTCTGCCAATAGAAGTCCAAATGAAATCAGACATCAGAATAAATGGTGATGATATCTACTTAGAAATCATTCTAACACACTGTGAAAATATTTACAAGCTTCCAAGATGAGACTTTTCCTGATTAGGGAAATCAAAGAATAGTTTTCCCAGCAGACTTGCAGTTAGCTCATCCAAATTGCTTCTGTTTTAATTGGCATGTGTTTCCTTTAAACAGCTAGAAGATGAAAAATATTTGACTTGGGCTTTACAGGAATGGAAGTGTGTTCCTCAAGACTCAGCCACTCTGGGGGGGAAAAAAAAACCAAAACCAACCAAACAAAATTTGCATTTGTAGCATGTTTATATAACAATAATCCATTACATCTTTGATAAAATCTCAGACCAAGGTGAAGACTTCTATTCTGAATTTTTAATGAGAAAAGTAAGAATAGTATTTTACTTGGGGTTTTCTAGTATGTGAAGTGTTTTGCTACCTGAAGTGAATCTAGGTGGGCTGCTATTTTATCTTTTTTGTCCACAGAATACTGTTGTTTTTAAACTGTGGTTTAAGATTTTTTTTTTTTTTACACAAAGTTCTTGTTTCAGAAGCATTGGTAAGAATAAAGAAAAAGAGATAACTTTCGCTAACAGCTAATGCTTTTGTCTGGAGGAACAATGTAATATTGTATGTGAAATTAAGTTTTTCAGTTACTGGAGTTTTTCATGTCTCTTCTTCTGAGCATGTCTATGGAAGGCTAGTTTCCCTGTAAATTGTTGTCCTAGGGAGTGGTGAGACCCAAGATGTAGCTGAGGAGGAAATGATTATGTGCTAGAATGGTGTCAAAAGCTGTGCTCTCAGCACTTGGGGGATGGTTGCTCTTTGTGGCCTGGGAGGCATTTGGTTCTAAATTAAAACCACTGAAGCGCAGCATAGAAGATGGACTTTGGATTGAAAGAGCCTGAGCCCCCCTTGGGTTAAAGAGGTTGAGAAAGTTTGTCCTAGAGGTCCTCAGGGGACTCAGGACTCCCCTGAAAAGAAAGGAAGTCCTTGAGCTCCATGGCTATTTCCAACCTTGTCGCGAACCAGTTGTTTCCACAAACCCCAGTGCAATGCATCTTCTGCTGCTGAAACTTGTGGCTTGCCCAGCCTTGTTCCCTTTGACTGCTGGAGATGTTATTCCCCAGGTGGCTTAGACCATAGCGGTGGGATTCGAATGCCACTGGATATCGTTTGTGAACTGGTTCTGCAGACTTGCCCTATAACTGGTGGAAGAAGGCAGCCCAAGCGTGAAATTCAGCTCACCTAATTTAGATGCCCATGTTAGAAAGAGATCAGTCCCAGTTTAGAAGTCTTTGTTTCTCTTCAGAGTGTGTCTTGATCTGCAGCTCCTATGAAGCAGAAGACGAGTTGTATGGTGGATCAAGGTAGATCTGAATTGAGTTGATGAGGGTTAGCTGGTGGAGCCTCACAGATGGGAGAATGTTGCCATAGGCCAGTCTCAAGTTTTCTATTCCTCAGCTTTTGCTAAAGGAGCATTAACCCCTCAGGCAGGATGAGGTGGTCATGTGTCCGTCATGCTCACCTACTGTGCACCCTGGCAAGGTTCCTGGACCTTTCATAAGAGGTTGATGGATCGAATGAATCCTGTGTATCTTGTTCCGAGGGAGTTGGGAGATGCATTATCAGTAAATAATGCTAGTCAGGCTTTGTGCTTTATTTTACCACCTGCCTGTCAAAGTGAGATGGTGTTTCCCCGACGTTGTAACATTAGGTGAGTCATGAAGAGCACAAACTCTTGAGTGATTTGTTTTTAAAGAACTGAAGGAAGTGTAAACTTCATATTTGTTGTTTATTGATTAATATTTAATTGAAGGTGAAATTAAAAATTAAGCAGGCAAATGACTCAACTTGCTAAAAAGCTGGAACACTGTCTTGCTGTAGCTGACAAGTGACATTTTCTAAGAATAGAAGCAAATATTTTAATGTATAGTGATGGCCTAGTGGGTCAAAGGAAATGCTTTGAGGGCGATGTACATGTCCCACAGAAAAATCATGCAGAAAATATCTTTGATACCAAACTTAGTACCCTTTGCCTCACTAATGAAATCAGTGGATGATTCTCCTCAGAAAATACTAATAATTATCTTTTCACTGTGGTGTTATGGAACAGTTAAAGAACAATTTTATTTTTATAGAGGAACATTTTAAAAGCCCACAGGACCAGCAAAGCCCTGTAAATTCTGTTAGGCGAATGGTGTATTTTTTGTTGTGTTTTGGATTGCGTTGGGTGATTGTTTTTAACATCATGGCTGTTTTAGACACCTAGTGTTAGACATCTTGAAGTGTCATTATCTTAGGAGTAGATTCTTTTTTGCCCACTGGAAATAAATAGCACTCTGTCATTGTAGCTGTTCATCATTATTATTGCTGCCTCGTTTTTTTACAACATTTTTCAGGGTATTGTTTTTCATGATCAAATCTGAGTCTGCTTTTAGTTGTGACTGTCAGCAGCAACTTACCATAGATGAAACCAGGAAGAGTCAGAAATGCTGATTTTAGGAAGGGGAGGGGCTGTCATCAGTGGAGGTTGTGGTGATTCAGCGCCTCTTGGGCTGAAGTCTGTTACTGGACATCTGTGACACTTCTATCCTGAAATTTTTTCAAAACTATGCTACAGGCTGATGTTTTTTCTATTCAGAATACTGATCCATCCTGTTTGAAAACAGATAAAGCAATACTGGGGAAGGTCTTTTCTGCATATTATACATAGGGAATTATTTAAAAATGAATTGACACTGTGAGCACTGGCCAACATGCAAGAATGAGCAGAATATCTCCCCCTTGGCTATTGCGTGGCAAATAAAAGCTCTTTTTAATTACTTCTTCCAATTGCTTTTTATTGCTCACTTTAAGCCTCATTTTGTGCTGAAAATTTTTTTTCTTCTCATGGACTTGAAAAGCAATATGTGAAATCAGGGCTGGCAGAAGTTCTTAGCACTAGACTAACTAGACTATAATACCAATAAATAGGATGGGTAGAAGAAGCATGTAGCAGCTAACTGCTATTTGAACTGCGTTCTGTAATATTGTAGTGAAACTTCGATACTTTCCTTTTTTTTTTTTTTTTTTTTTTTTTTTTTTCCCCCCCACAGAAAATAAAGCAGTGTTGAGTTTTTATCTGTAAATGAGAGGGCTGGTAAAGATTCAGTTCATCTAATTGAGCAAAGTGTATCAGACAGCTCCAAAGCACATAGTGCTACTGTGGACAAAGAGGAATCAATGCATACAGTGGGTCTGGTCTTTCTTGCATGCAGAGCAAATAGATCAGTGGAAATATGAAACCTATGTGTTCTGTTAACTATATGTGGGTGGGAAATGAAAGTTGTTGCACAGTTATTAAACTAGGACTTGAAACACGTGGGGATCGTCTTTGTGCTTTACATGTACACTCATTTCCACTGTATGTTGCTGTACCTAGAAAGTTCAAAATATGCACTTGGACTCTAACGTGTTTAGCAGTCATCAAGCTGATGGTGGCTTCTTTTAAAGATCTTTTTTTATTATAAGAAAAATATTCTGAGACCTATAGATTGGACAGTGCACACACTAGCCTGCTTGGGGCAAAAAAAACTCCTTTAATCTCTGTTAAAACTCTGTGACAAATATCATAGCTGGTTTCAGGAATATTTAAACCAACTTCATTAGAATATGGGAAAGCAACAGGTTTTAAAGGCTGGTTTTAGCAAGAAATCAACTGTCTCCCAGATTGTGCAAATGGGCCTTTTTCAACCATAGTAAAAAAGAAGGGGGGGAGGGGAAGAAAAAAAGAAACAAACCCATCCCCACCCAATGCGTGTGTGTATTTGTGTGCATGTGTTGGCTTCGTGCTCGCCAGTTTGTAGCTGTAAACGCGAAGCTGTTGGCGAGTGGGCTCACAGGCAGTGCTGTGGCACAGCAACCCAACGGCTGCCTCGTGTGCAGCTTGTAGCTCTGGCTCTTCCAACCCAGCCAGCCCAGGTGTTACAGCTCTCTTCTGGGCTCTGCTTGCTTTCACAGGAGGCAAGGCTGCAAGATGTGATGTATTTAAATGTATCCTGGATTTGTAACGATGCCTCTAGTTTTTCCACCAGTTTTACTGTCCTTGCACTGAAAAACAGTTTTGCTTTAACCCGTTATGAAAACTAGTAGTGTTTAACTAAGTTTTATTATTGTGGAACCTTTATGAGAGAGTCTTTGTTCCTGTCAGATGAGAGATTGATGTGGCTGTATGAACCAGATCATATACTGGAGGTGCACATAGTGTACTGGGCTAATCGCTTACTTATTAATATTCATGAGCAGTCTCATTTAGCCGGTGCTCTTGGGACTTGATTAAAGCCAGCAATGCTGCCATTGGTGCTTGAGCTGTAGAGAGCGTTACCTAAGACAGAGCTAGTGTTCTTGGTGTCGGTGCTCACTCGGACTGCCTGCAGCATTTTACGGGCCCCTCTTCAGTGTTTCTGCAAAGCGTTTCTTCAATGACAAGTCAACCTGCAACTAGAGAGAGAATAAATTTCAGATCACCTTTGTGAAGCGTTACTGCTCACTCTTGTAATGAATCCTTTGTGTTTGTTCCCAAAGGTCCAGAGGAAGAAATGACCATGTAGATTCTACAGCTTGGGTGCTGTATAATGGGAAATGGTGAATGGAGTGGAGCTGGTCTGCAGCCTTGAAAGCAGCCGTTCTGCGGACCACTAGTCAGCCAGGGACACCTTGCACGCCAGAGGCATCCAACACATCGCTCGCCAGACACACACTGGATTCTTTTTGATTTCCTAGGTTGGAAAATTCCAGATTCCTTCAATTTTTAAAGAGTTTTAAGATCGTATCAACTATAATAAGTGGAGCAATATAATCAGCAAAAATGGGTGACATGACAAACAGCGATTTTTATTCCAAGAACCAAAGAAATGAGGCCAATCATGCAGGAGAGTTTGGGTGCACACTGCAAGAACTGCGCTCCCTCATGGAACTTCGAGGAACAGAAGCAGTAGTAAAAATTAAAGAGACCTATGGGGAAACAGAGGGGCTCTGCAGACATCTGAAGACATCACCAACAGAAGGTAAGTGTATTTCACTGCAATTGAATCAGGGGACTTTGCATAAGGGCTCTCCAGACACTGAAAGAAAGAGGTTTGGTTTTAAACCTGAATGCAATTCTTATGGTGCTGCCATTATTCCCAACAATAAGAAAACAGAAGAAGAGAAAGTTTATAAAAACAGTTTAGCTATAGCTAAAGTTACCATGAGAATAAAAAAAGTGCTGTTTATTTAAACAGCTAAATGCATGATTTCTGCCTTAAAAGGTAGACAAAGTCAGCACTTTATTAATGGCATTATAAAGAGGCTTTAACATATATTCTCTTTTGGGTAAGAAGGTGCAGCCTAGTTGCTTCAGAAGAATTTCTATGTATTTAGGTATCTTGGGAATATGAAATGACCCTTTGAGATACACATTATGTTAATTTATAGACCAATATGTAACATATATGTTTTGTGGTTGCTAACTTTGATTTACTGTATTACTATAGATAGTTTCGTTTAAGTTATCAATATATGACTCTATCAATGTTTTTATTAGTATGACATTTTGTCTATACATTTAAGCTCCTTTTTTATGTTTAATAATACCAATCATAACTTTTCAATATCTATTCTTCTAAGTGGTTTTGGAGTTCTCTACCTGATTATGAGTCAGTCTAGTTCTCAATACCCAGCCCAAATATCTTCCCATATAACTTCAAAAATGGTGGGGGGTTTCCCTTTCCTCACAGAGTTCCTGTTCACCAATTCTTTTTCTTTCAGTGCAAGTAAAATTCTGTTTTCATTACTGTATTTTCATCTCCAAAGAATGTTAACACTTTTGGAAATTATACCGTCTTTGAGTCTATAATATTTATCTTGTCTTCTAAAGTAGCCAAGATGCTAATTTAAGTTGTTTTCTTTTTCAAGAAGATAGAAGTGTTGGCTTTATTCCATTCTCTCCTTTTTAAAATTAATTGTTTAGTTACCTCCTCTGTTTAGATGCTTCAAAGTCTTGAATTATTGGTGTAATCAAAAACATGTCAATTGTAGAGTCGCATAGTGTGATATTATAAATCAGAGTAGTTGAAGAGTCCCCAAGGAGCAGCTGTCAATGCCTAGTTTTTGAGTAGATTCTTCATGGTCGTACACAGTCTTGTTAAAGCATTATAAACTGTAAAGCAGTGAACAGTACCTGTTCAGCACGGAATTATTAAGCTAATTCTGTATTAAAGGGAGCAGCCAATTCCAATAGTGCTTCAACGTTCATGTGCAATCTTGTATTGTGACTAGTGGCAGATGTTTTGTTTTATAACAAAACTCTCCTGTTTTCTAGTCTTGCCAAAATCTTTGACCCTTCTCTTTTCCTACCTGCAGACTGTTTCCAGTGGAAATGCTGAGGTAGGAAAATGAGACCCTGCCATTTGCAGGGGATTTCCAGATGTCCATCAGCCTTCCAGAGAGTGACCAAAGAACTGTTGCACATGAGAGAATCAGCTCTTCAAAGTATATGCAGTGATTCTGACATCTCACTGACACATCTGGGGAATTCCAGACAGAAGTACAGGATCTCTATATTTACAATACAGAATAAACACTGATTTATAAATATCCCACTAGGGATTCTGCATCTTAAATATCCCTCAGTGGTTTATAGGATGTCAGAGCTGAAGTCTCAGGCTGGGTGAGCCGAGGGTGCTTTAGTGACTTGAGTAAAGTTTTGCCAACTCATTCTAGCGGTTACCTGGTCAATGTGAACTTCAAAGGAGATGTTAATGGCATTATCAGTTCAATTTATGACATCAGGGAAACTTAATTCCTCATATTGGAACAGAGTGCATGGATCCAGCTAGTGTGGCATGCTGACTCCAGCAGTAATCTATATCTGATACTTCAGATAAGGTAACTTTCCTCTAAGCCTTACGTGCACTTCATCACTTGTGCATTAAGAAAGAACATTTCCAGCTTCAAATGTCAGCATAGCCTTGGAATCCTGAAGGCTCTGCTGGGTTTTAATTTTAAATTCGATCACATAACAGGAATTCCCAGTCACACCAGATTTTCCTCTTAATTTTAATTATTCTGCTGGGAAAAATCATTTTAGGAGGGAATTTCTCTGAAATATGTCAAGTCAAACTTGGAAATTTTCATTTGACAGTATCCATAACAATTCAACAGAAAAACAAAACTTCAAAGGCTCATGTCAAATATAAGCATCTGTCTGGTTATAATTCCCTAGCCATTGCTTTTCTTGTATCCAAGAGCAGTGAAAAAAGTTAAAATAGAAGAGGATATTCTTGAGTGAACTTAATAGTTTCTTACATGAAAGTGGAATTAACAAAGTAGACATGATTTACAAATAAATTATTGATGTCCATAATGAAGGCTCACGTACATCTTGATCTTTTGGTATTTGCAGCAAACTGTGGATTCCCCATGGGCTATCTATGAAATCCCATAAAGTACCACTGTGCCTGAAAATCCCTTTTCCAAACAGCCTCTTTTTTTGTGAAGCAGAGTTAACTGAACTTCCACTATTTTTGTATAGTTTGGAGTGCTGCACATTTTACACATTTTACGGGGAACATAATAAGCATTATTGCAGGGCACTTCTTTCAATAAACCAAATAAACCCTTGCTGAGCAAGACTCCTGGGTGAACACAAATGAACCAGCAAAAAGGACTTGACCGTAGAACTGTGTTCTTCCTCAGCTTGCAAGCTCTTTCAAAGTTTACTTTCATAACATCTTTCTCATTTTGTGGGGTATGGGTTAAGTAGTTACTGGAATGGAGGAAAAAAAAACGTACCCTGGAAGCAGGCACATTATAATTCGGTAAAATGTGGTCTAACCTGAATTTACTCTCTTACTCAATGTTGAGAAAATAAGACGTAGCAATTAGCTCAGAATTTACTCAGCAACTCATTTTTCATGTTAATATATGATGTATCACCTGTGAACTGGTAGAATCAATCACTTCTAGTGCAAGTGTGTTTTTGAAGCTCTGTTCTTAAGGCCTTGAACTTCACAAGGTAAGATGTTTCAGGCCTGACTCAAATGTTATTTACACTGCTGTGAAGATACCCTTAGCAGTGTTTGCTGAACTCATGTATTAATTCAGTGTGGAGGTTTAAAATCTGCTGAATGCTGAGTAGAATACTTGCATGCCGAATTCATAACATTATTATGGACTGCAAGGCTTCAGTCTCGCTCTTCTTTAAATTTTCTTTGATTGCTTTTCTAACTATAGATGCAGCGTGGATCCCAGCTCTCGGTTATGCCTAAGGGACTTCCTGCGTTCAAGTGATTATATTATAATGAACAGCTACCATTTAAGCACTCATAAGAAAGAACCTTTGCAAAATCTATGGAAATACTTTACATGAAAATAAATACAAATATGTCTCCTTGAATTTTCTTTAAAAATATTTTTATTCAGATTGGTTTCACTTTCATTATTCTAGTAATACAGAAAATAAGCAAGACCTAGCTGTCATTTGCAAAACAACACTGAATCGCCCACTGGGCAGAGCTGTGATGACAGTTGTATAATTTTCCATGCAATCTGAGTCTCTGAGGCCCACTTGAGCATTAGTGATACCTTATAAAGGACAGCTGGTAAAATGTGATGAGTTAGTTGGATGAATACCAAATGAGACTGGTAT